GACAGAATAGCCCCATACTGCTAAGCCCACTAAAAGCCTTTAATTTTTTGTATCTTCCAATAAATTTTTGTGGAAAAAGTCCAATATTTTTCAATTTCCTTTTAAAATGAAAAGTATATATTTTTGTGTAAGAAAATGTTGAAAAACCAGTTCATAAAACAAAAATAGACCTTAAGAACGTTTAAATTGGGTTATGGGCTAATAATACAAGCCCATTTTCTAATTTCACAACAATATAAATATAAATAACACAAAACGTTTTTAAATAAAGAAATACTGATATACTACTAGTACACAAAAAGTGTAGAGTTTTGTAAAGAAGAGAAAAATCAGAAGAAACGGTCTGATGATGATTAGCCGCTAATCATCACCTTCTTCGCTTTAATCATGGCGATAAACACAAGCTAATCAGAAATTAGAGGTGTGATAAAATCGATCGAATTGTGAAGATATTTTTTCTGGGTAATGGCGAGCGTGATGAACAAATTGAGGAATTTGGATGCTTACCCTAAAATCAACGATGATTTTTATAGCCGTACACTCTCCGGTGGTTTAATCACACTGATTTCTTCCATTGTTATGCTGATTCTGTTCTTCTCCGAGCTTCGTAAGCACTTTTGGCTCCTTCAATTTCTGTCTCTTTTCGTGACCCTTGAACTAAAGTTCAAATTTTTCTGGGTTTGAATTTGTATCTTTTCGTGACCCCTTGAACAAAGTTTGAATTTTTGTTTCTGGGTTTTTGTTAGGACTTTATCTTCATCATGTTACTGAGACTCAGCTTCGTGTTGATACATCAAGAGGAGAGAAGCTAAGAATCAATGTAAGTACAACAATGTGTTTGCTTGTTGTGTGATTTTGACATTTCATCTCTTTAAGATTTGATTAGGTAACTTAGTATTTTTTTTAATCAATTTTTGCAGTTTGATGTTACTTTCCCTGCTCTTGCTTGTTCGATTATTAGCCTTGATGCTATGGATATTAGTGGAGAGAAACACCTTGATGTGGTATGTGTTTTATTATCTTCAAGTCTTGGCTCCATTACGTTTTAACAAGTTTATTGTTTATGAATTTGCAGAGGCATGATATAGTTAAAAGAAGGTTAGATTCTCATGGTAATGTTGTAGAAACAAGACAAGATGGAATTGGTCATACAAAGGTTTAGTATTTCAAAATATTAGATGTCTCAAGGATTGAAAACGTGTTAAGACTTCGGTTTTCTCGTTTCGACAGATTGAAAATCCATTACAAAGACATGGTGGGAGGCTAGAGCATAATGAAACATATTGTGGTTCTTGTTATGGAGCTGAAGCAGTAAGTTTTTTCCCCAAGTTTATAGAAGAATGTACTCTTAGATGTAACTTTAAACGATTGTGACACTTGGATAAAGTTTTTGATTCTATGCACAATTGCACATCATTCTTATTTTCTTATATATGTGGTGAAATGATTTTAGCCCTTATTGCTATTGCTAGATTTGGAATCTAATTTCTGCTTCTTAATACTTTTGCAGTCAGATGATGAGTGTTGTAATTCATGTGAGGAAGTTCGTTAAGCTTATCGAAAGAAAGGTTGGGCGATGTCAGACCCTGAGATCATTGACCAGGTACGGTGCTGTGCGTTTCATAATGTATAGTTTTGCTGGTCTTGTTAGCTGAACTAGCTCGAGTCTCATAGTTGTTTGAAATTTACTCGTTTGATCTCAGTGTAAAAGAGAAGGTTTTGTTCAAAGGGTTAAGGACGAGGAAGGTGAAGGTTGTAATATCTACGGTTTCTTGGAAGTTAATAAAGTGGCTGGGAGTTTTCATTTCGTTCCTGGGAAAACTTTCCATCAATCAGGCTTTCATTTACAAGATCTGTTAGAGTTCCAGGAAGACAACTACAATGTAAGTGAATAACCATTTTCGATTTGGTCTTTCTTTGGATTATGATATGTTCACGATAAGTGTAATCTACTGTATCTTCTTGCACAGATAAGCCACAAGGTTAACAGACTGGCCTTCGGGGACTATTTCCCTGGTGTAGTGAATCCCTTGGATGGGTAAACCTCTTTTATGTCTCGTGCAGTTACTCGGTAATCCAAATCATTTTATCTTTCTGAACTTTTATCTTTGGTTTCTCAGTGTGCAGTGGACTCAAGAGGCACTTAATGGCATGTATCAATATTTTATCAAGGTTTGCCTCGATACATTCAATTTCACATCTTGTTACATTTATTTGTGACAGTACATTTATTTCTAAGAGGTGGAATAGAATAACCCRGTTGAAGCGTAATGATCATACGTCTGTAATGCATTGTATGTCCCAGAATAGGTCCCATTCTTTTAACCTTTCCGGGGAGTCGATGACTATTCATAGCTATTACCTTGAYACCAMAGAAGAGTTCGACCCAATGCTTTATTTCTGTCCKAGTTGATCCTGATTCGACATTAAAAGTATATTGATTTTTCCCCAATAACCGAATACTTGTCTGTAAATACTGCATATTTGATTCCATCCATAAATCGATTTTCTTCCCTATGAGGACTCAAGAGGCACTTAATGGCATGTATCAATATTTTATCAAGGTTTGCCTCGATACATTCAGTTTCACATCTTGTTACATTTATTTGTGACAATACTGTGATATCCTCTGTATTTTAAGCTCGGTTTACTGATACGTATAGGTAGTGGGAGAGAGATTTATGATTATGTTTCTCTCGAATTAGACATGATAACGAATCTGTTGCGATGATCATAGATTTTATTGATGTTTTCTGTTTCTTTAAACGTGGAATTGCAGGTTGTACCGACCGAATACACAGATGTTAAAGAGCATGTTATTCAGTCAAACCAGGTGAATACACTACTACCTCTCAGAGCAGAGCTTCTGATTTCGTTGTAATTTTTTCCTCAAACCGCTTTGTCCTTCTTGTAGTATATCTAAGAATTTGGTTTCCTTGGTGTACTTGGCAGTTTTCTGTGACTGAACATTTCGAGAAAACTCAAGTTCACATACAATCACTTCCTGGTGTTTTCTTTTTCTATGATCTTTCTCCAATTAAGGTATCTCGGGATCGACACTGGTTAATGCGTATTTGTCATATCGATTAATTCGCATTTCTAACATTTTACTTTTGAACTATTGCAGGTGATTTTTACGGAGCAGCATGTGGAATTCTTGCACTTCCTTACCAATGTTTGCGCTATAGTAGGAGGTGTGATAATCTGTTTCTTCTCCAATCAATTTACTTTCTTTTTGTTCATGTAACGATCATCAAATCCAAACTCGAAAATTTTTGGTTTAATTTTTGCATAATGTAGGCGTTTTCACGGTGTCCGGAATCATTGATTCATTCGTATATCACGGACAACGGGCGATAAAGAAAAAGATGGAAATCGGCAAATTCGGCTGAGTTACTACAAACCCCATTGAGCTCGAGAAGCTGAATTTTTGAAGTGTTGTAAGATGAATTTGGAATAGAGTTGCAAGAACTAGTACTCTTTTTTAACTCAAAATATACCACATTAAAAGTGTTGTTGTTGGGATTGTTTCTCTTATTCAATGTGAGGATCTTGTATTAGATTCGATATTAAACTCAAGATCTGTAAATTTTGTTAATAGGCACAAAGGATTTGAAACAAAACCATTGAATTGTTTTTGTTAAACAAGTTTTTTTTTTTCCTAAGTTGAAATGTAAACTAACTAAACACGGATATTACTAGAATGGATACAAGTACAACAACTCAAATTGATGATAGGTTTTATTCAACATCACACGTCAGTGGCATAATAATGGTGTGTAGCTAAAATTCAATGCAATGTTTTAAATAAATACAACAATGTTGAAAAAATCCATGTGAAAGAGAAGAAAAATGGAGTGTGAACATAATCTTTAGTGGGCTCCTTGGTGTGGTGTGCCTTTCAATTTTTCCATCTTTATGCTTCCTTTGCGTAATTTGGAATTCTCCTCTCTTTACTACTTATAATAATAATATAATACAATTTCAAAATATTTAAAAAAAAAACAATTTTCCATATGTCATTTTAAGAAGTTAGAGAGGTAATAATGGTCAAGAAAATGTATGAAATGAACAATAAATTCTTGATAGTTTTCTAAAATTCAAAACGAAATTTAAACTAGTCTCGAACAATGTTGAAATACGATTTGATTTTATTGATATAAGTTTTTGC